GTCGGTTACAGAAATTTGTACCACATGTACCAGTAACAAACCCACACCCCTATGTAAAACTTCTTTGTCCCTCAAAAATCCAACTGCTTCCTCTGTCCCTCATCTCCATGCCCCAGCTGTCTATCAGCCCACATCCCCACTGTTTCTGAAAACGCACATCTTTTTGTAGAAAAAGTTTAGTACAGTACATTTTTTCCCTTAAAAACTACAACATTTCTCCTTCACTACCCCCTCCCCCCCCCCAACGAAAAATCTATCATAATCTACACATCTCTTCAACCCCTTTTATATTTTAGGAACTTCTACTGCATTATTCAAAAGTATCAGACCAGTAACAAACTTCTAAACAAACTAGGATGACCCAAAAATTCCCCTTCCCCAAAACTACAGAGAACTGAAAATGCTATACTGCATATCACACTTGCATGCATGTATCCTGAGCCATCTGCAAGCAAAGGGTGAAGGCGGAGGCTTGGGCCAGCCGCGGGGGCCGGGCGGGCGCTCAGTAAAGTGCAACATACAAGATCATCTGCTTTTTTTTTTTTTTGCCTTTTTTTTTTTTTTTCCCCTTCCCCCCCCCCCCCCCCCCCCCAACGAAAAATCTATCATAATCTACACATCTCTTCAAGCACTGTTATATGTTAGGAATCTCTACTGCATTATTCAAAAGTATCAGACCAGTAACAAACTTCTAAACAAACTAGGATGACCCAAAAATTCCCCTTCCCCAAAACTACAGAGAACTGAAAATGCTATACTGCATATCACACTTGCATGCATGTATCCTGAGCCACCTGTATTTATTCACCTTAAGCCCCTTTTAATAAATAACTGTCCAGCAGTAACATCCAGAAGTGTGCTGTCTCCTCCAAATTAAACTCTATATTTACAGAAGTAGGGCTGTTTTCTCAGTGAAATGTGTTTTTTTAAAAAAACAAAACAAAATAACAACAATAAAAACAGCAAACGATTAAAGAGAGAAAGCATATTACTGATCATGTTGTCTAAAGACCAACAGGAGTAAAAAGCATCAGGAGCACCAGGTGCACATGCATTTGAACTGGTACAGTTCATGAAATAATGTCATTCATTGTTATGCTCGCTCATTCAGATGAGGAGCAGATTCTTTTCCTTTCTTTTTTTCCCTTTTTACATTTAGGACCGTCTGCTCTGCAGGCTACTCCCACAGATGGCAATACATGCACTGAGGTTGAAAGATGGCCATAAATATGCTTTGATCAATGTGGTTCTGTATCAGCTTTAAACACATGGGGTTTCCCTCCCTGCTGCTTTGCACCTTGTGTCATTTCACATCTGTGCTAAGTGTGAGCCAAAGGTCTAATGCGGAAGCATTAGACGCTCACTTTCTGCAAGTTTCAAATGATGCTATATGCTGGAAAATACAGGGGAATCATCCCACATGAGAACACTTCTTAGCAGTGTAACTACTGTAATCACAACTGACATACAAGCATACCGAAACAAATGTTGAAATATCAAGCCAGTTAGAGGGATTTTGTCCCTTCATTTATTTTGAGCCTGCTTTCAGCTGACAGATGCCAGTATTACTGCCTTGATTTCAGTTGGCCTATGTTGATTTACACCAGGTAAGGATCTAGCTCAACAGACGGTAAAATAGCAACCAGTTTCTCCTACTACACTGTTATAGTGCCTGAAATCCCCGTAAATGGGTCCATTTCCACACAGCCAAAAGGCCTTTCTGTAGCCAGTGCAGCATATTTACTGCCCCACCTTTGCAAAGGCAATTCAATTCAGGTTCACTTTCTCTTCTTCCCACTTTACCGACAAACTAAACCTGCAGTGCTCCCACCACAGAAGCTGCAGCCAAAACTTGAGTTACACACCAAATGCTTAATTGTACATAGTGAAAATGCAGAGAACTCCATTTATGTTGAATCTAATTTTCAAATTCATGGTGCTTCCTGCTTTATCATATACGGATCTGATCACCTGGAAGCCCAAACCACTCCTATCCTTGCTGCACTTGCAAGTTATGCAGAAAGTGTTACTATCTGTTATCTCCGCAAGACTGGCTATTCCAGCAAAGAATACTCCCCTCAACTGCAAACAACAGGCATGTTGGATGTGTGGTCGTGAGAAGCCCTCCCTAAGCCAACACCTCCATTCTCACTGGAAGTGAGTCAGATCCTACCAACGTTAACATCAATGCCAATCTGCAACAACTCTACTGACCCCTCTCAAGGTCTGTACAGGTGAAAGACAATACAAAATCTGTCTCCCAGGCTTCTTCATAAGCTGAAGTTTACTCCTAACCCATCAATTCAACTTTATTAGCAGATTCTAATTCTGTAAGCAAGTTTTCCGTTTTATTATTACATCATTTGTGGGCTCCACCATTGTTTCAATTTCATCACCACCTACTGATAAGAGACTTGGCATCTACAGAGCAGTGGTATTCCCCACTCCCACAAGCAGCTAAACCTCAAATGAAAGACAATACAAAATCTGTCTCCCAGGCTTCTTCATTAGCTGAAGTTTACTCCTAACCCATCAATTCAACTTTATTAGCAGATTCTAATTCTGTAAGCAAGTTTTCCGTTTTATTATTACATCATTTGTGGGCTCCACCATTGTTTTGATGTTTTACATCATTTGTGGGCACCTCAAATGCCATGTTTCACTGGTGTCAAAAGCAGAGCTTCACCAGAGCTGCAGTGGAAAATTGGACATGTTTTAGTTTCACCTTTCAGCTGAAAGAAATGGAGATAATAAGTGATGACTGTGTGTCGCACTGGCTGCAAAAGGCCTTTCCATTCATAGGAGTGCTACTCTCCGAGCAATTTTTGTAAAGGAAGAGAAACCAAACAAAAACCTACACAGTTCCCACACACAAACACAGACACACGCACACACATACACACACTCTTCTCTCTCCTCCAAACAGATATCCATTCTTATGGACCAAATTATGCAGACCCTATTCAAGTGACTAAAAAGAATGAGGATAGGGTTGAGTGCATCCCAATTCTCCTTTCTGATCACAATGAATTCACAGGTCAGCAAAGTACTTGGGCATAAAGATGTTCCTCTTGACCTGCAGGACATTTTAATGCATGCAGAAGTGCTCTGCTGGCTCAGGCCTAAATTAGGAACAGCTCCAAGGCCAGCTGGCACCCACGAGTGTGATTCCACTACCTGCACCAATATACATGAGGTAAGAGCATAACTCAAGAGAGCAGAGCAGTGCAAGAGGAGAAAGAGGCTCTGTGGTTCTTCTGAGTTTATCTTTGACAGCCTCAGCTGCATACACACGGCATGTCACAGTGATCAGCATAGACCGATGAGAGCTTGGTATGGTGTTCTGCAAGTGGGACTTCCACTGGAGATAGTAAGCCTGATTTCTATTTGTACCAGCGCAACTTTATATGTCCGTAACAACTGCATGAAGAGGCCTTAAATCTGGAGTAACTGCACAATACAGTTAGTATTTTCTCTTTGACTTATGTGCCAATAACTACTGTGATGTGCTACACACCCACACCTACACACAGACGGAGAGATAAGTATATACTGTGTCATAATGCAACATAAACATTATTTCTACAGCTATCCTAATAACACAGCCAGTGCCAAAGCGAACCAGCATAGGGATTTGCAGCCACGCTCTCCAATACGATAGGTAGTGGTAGAGAAAAAGCAAGCTCAGGTGTTATTTTGATTCACTAGGGAATGATCTGGGCACAACCCACTCAGGTATTGCTTAGTGAACACTATTCATGGGCTGTCCCGCAGTCCCGCGTCATAAATTCCCACCTCTGTGTGGGTGCTCACATCACTTTCTGATGACACACAGAATTGAGGTCATGGGCGAGCAGTCACTATGTTTGGGAAATCCTCTAGCCAAATACTATACAAAACAGGGATAAAACCTCATACTGACACATCACGCCATGCCTCTCAACCACAGGTAGACTGCAAGGTTACATATTAGTGGGATCTGGGCTGTCTAAAGAAAGAGCTACTCATAGAGGAATTCATGTTTGAATCACAAGAGGATCTAGTTCTGCTTGGCAGTAAGATCAAAAGGAAATTTATCTACTTAAATAGCAATGGAATCAGTCCCTCAATGCTGCTGATATAACACATGCTGTTTGCATATTACAGCATTCATACTCAAATTACATGTATATTTGCTCCATTTTGGACCATGTTTTCTGTAAATGAAAACTAAACACCTAGCCAAAATGTTTTTTTTTCAAAATTCCTCTGAACCTGAACCCAGGTCTTGTTCAAGGTCTGGATTTCTAGAACCAACATCTGGCCTTCAGAGGCTATCCTATGCAACCAAGTCTAAACATATGCAGAGATTGTAGGCTCAAAACTGATTTTCTCAGGAGAGAAAAATACTTCTCTTCTATGCTATAGATTACTATTGCTAGATTATTGGCACATAGTCTCATCTTACCTCATTATTGTTATAGCCTTCTTATAAACTTTCATGGAAATTCCACCTGCAGAACCAAAGGCAGAAAGTTATCTTTGCAATTATTGTTCCATATTAACATCTGGATGCATTACCATTGGGGAAAAGAAAGCAAATTCCTCAATGAACTATGTTTAACCAACTTGCAGATGGCAGCTATCAAAACAACTGATGCACATGTACCGGCTAAAGTTATTAATGAATGATCTGACATACCAAGTCAGACAAATGTCATATGTAAATAGATCTTCAAATGTATACATACAAAAGCTGCTACTGTATCTAGATGATCATTTTGGTTTGTTTCTATACCCCATAGCTCTGAATCTATCCACTGAATGTTTACTCAGCACGTGTGGTATAAATATATTCATACACTAAAATTGACACTTGGCAATTTTTCTTTTTTTTTTTCTTTCTTCTTTTTTTGCTGACCAGCAACAAATTCTGATATCTTTAACTGTAAACCAATACTCAATAAATATGCCGTGTTCAGCAAAGAGACATGTTTTGTCAATCAGGGTTTTGCTGCACTCTAAGCCATGGGCTGCGGGGGTGGGCGTGAAGGAGGAGGTCCAGGAGGGGCTCGGGATGGGGGTGGTCCAGGAGGTGGCTGCCTGGAAGGGGGCTGCAGAGACACAGGAGGAGAAGGATTCCTTGGAACATTGTTGAGAGGAACATCATCGCGCCGTGGCAGCTTCGGCGGTGGGCTGTAAGGGGCAGAGGTTCCATCCGATTTCACCCGAGTGAAGTTTATGCATCTTCCCTAGAGGTAAAGAGAAATTCATTATTCATAAAAAGCAGGCATTTTGACTCATCAGCAGCTAGCCAAAGAGACTATAAGCAGAGGGGCCATGCTGCACTTAGAGATCTTCATCCAATATCATTCACTGTGTCCTAGACATGGCATTCAGGTCACGCTGTACTGAAGGTCAGCACTAGAAACCAATGCTTTCCTTGGGTTTCAGAGCTCCTGCCTACGGAGAATAGCTTAGGACTGGTTTAAACCAAAAGGGACCCCAGTGTAACCTTGCTCACATGTGCCCTCTGCTCTGCTACTAGATCTATGCAGAACATGCCTAAAGCCACAGCTCCACCAAAGTCATGGCTGCCTTGGTGAGATCCCTGACTGACAAAGCTGTGCTTGAAAAAAACTCATAGCAGAGACAGGATTATACCAGAGGAACAACATTAGCAAAGACACCATCTGTAGCTTTCCTTTTCACCGTGATGCTAGCCTAGCTTGTGTCCATGCTTTGAACACTACACTGGGATAGTACATCTGTCTTCTGTGCTCCAAATGTAGATATGGCTTCCTTCACAAACACCAACAAGGTGTAGGACTTGCACAAAGGGGTCTCCAATGAGTGTGCTTCCAGAATGGATGTGGAATACAGGCAGGCAGAACCTGATGGGAGAACTGTGGATGGAGTGGACCCTAAGTTTTTTTACAAAGTGCCCCACTATTTCTGGGCAATTTCTTTCTATTACTCCCACTAAATCCTGCAGACACAACCTTGTGTGAGGAGATGCAACACTTGGCATCACTGTCTCCACGTCCTCACCTAGGGAGGTGGGAGGAGAAGCTTATGCAAGAACGCAGCTGCCACAAGCTTGGCAGAAGCCTGCACCTGGAAGTCAAAAAGGCCTTTCAACATCATGTACAAAGGCTGGAGACAAAGACTGCCTGAAAAGGCCAACAGCCCATTTACAGGAGCTGGAATGTGGTTTCCAAATAAGTAACTGTGGGCTGGAAAGTACCCATCCCATCAGTGAACTCCATTTACCAGCACCTTTTCCTTTGCACAGCAGGCCTGTTTTGTTCCACGTAGCAACCATCCTAATAAAAATGACCTCTACAGTTTAGCATGGAGGGGGATGTTACCTGTTTCTCTCTTTCCAAGGCAAACACTAGCTGAGGGAAATGGAAAAAACCTGTTTGGTTTGTTTAGAAAATATCTGCCCCAGAAGGCATCTTCCCTCCATTGTTTTGAAAGACCCACAGAGCCATGATGCCCAGCCAGAGGTTTAGGCTGTGTGCTGGAATCAACAAACCAAATTCAGCTCAAGGTTATGCCAACATCCGCGAAGAAAAATTCAGGAGAAGGGCTCCAGATTTAGAAAAGCTTTTCTCAGAGCTAAGCAGCTGTAGATGACAATCCTCACAGCTACCAATGGCTGTGATAACAGGGGAATACAAGAACCCACACCAACGACAGACTGCTGCTCAGTGCTGCCTGGCGTGAGGAAACTCTGAAGGTGTTTAGCGAATGGGCTGAGTTTCTGTGGCAAACCCACAAATCACAGTTTGCTCTGGAATTCAGGCAAGAGCCATCACAGCTGAACCACAACTATCTGTTTTGTTAAGTGACTCCCAATGCCTGCACCTTCATTTATGAAAACTATTCCTTTAAAAAGAAGAGAATCACTTAAGTCTATGGTTTCTCTGAAGAAAGTCAAGCAGAGTATCAAGAGAAGCTTGTGTAAGCTCCAGAGAGCTCAGAAAATGATTCAACAAATGTACTAACGCCCAAATGGTACCACCCTACCACTTTCCTGGATTGAATGGCTCAGGGCTGCAAGAGCTCAGTTGCAGCCAAGAGCTGTTTGAACAGGCATGTTGTTGCCTGTATGTGCGACATACTCAGCAGTTCTCAGTCCCAGCTTTCACCATCACAAGTTTGTCACTACACTTAAACAACAGCCTCAATAAGTAGGATAAAATCCCCTTTCTAAAAAAACAGGCTAGTTACAGCAGATTTTGGTTCTGAAGCAGGGTCAAGGCAATACTATTTTAGGGCCAGAGCCTCTGCATGGGGGTATCAAAGGGCAAAAGCCAAGGTCTTGGTTACTTCTGCAACAAAGATAAACCATTGGATCAAGAAAACCCCCAAATCAGTGCTTTGCTCTACTCCATCAGGGAACTCAAATCCTCACCAGCATTGCAGCGAGCAGCCATCTTGTCCGTTTACAACAGCCATTTGTATTCTGCTGTGCTCTATGGTATTCAGAACACATTTGGAAATTCAGCAACATTTACTGCTATGCAGTGAACATACAGAAATATTTGATAGCTGTACTGCAAATATATTTAAGAAAACAGCCTTGATAAAGTTAAAAATTTAGAACAGCTAAATAATCACCCAGGACACAAAAAAAAAAGATCAAAAAAGTCAGAGGTATTCAGTTGAGATGCAACATATGTGAAGGGAAAAATTAAGAACAGAACAATCTCCCTTATAGTAAATGCAAAGCTGCAAACGCAACACTAGTGCTTTTGCCTACAAGCCTTTCCTGCCTCTCTGTTGTGTCTCTCTCCCAAACATCAATTCCAAATATATTCATAGTCTATAATCAAAGGGGATCCCATAAATCTGTTTGCATTACTTTCACTTCAGTTAAAGTGATAGGCGACGTCAAACTGCTGCCAGTTTCTGCCACACTCACTGATTTGTCAGACAGATGGGTAATTTAAAGGCCATGCGCCGCATTGTGTCATGAAAAATACGGTTGGGTTGGGAGAGCCTGACAGATAGAGGCTTGGATGATCGATGTATGTATTGTGACACTTCCTCACAAAAGATTATTGGTGTTAGCCTACAATCTCATATATCAAAGACTGCTGGTGAATAGTGGAGCAAATCCTCCTGAGCATTTCAAGCAGCCATTGATAAAAACGAGGCCAAACTCTTAGCCAGAAAGGCTAAGAAAGGGAAAGGGAGGAACAAATGATAATAAATCATAAGTCATAGTTTGGACTTATCAAGTATGTTTCCTTAAAGGATTTCTAGGTTGAAGAATTAAGCCCTCCACTCATCACACTTTCCTAGTAACAAGAGTGCCCCAGCTATTCTACCTAACACGCACATGCCTCTGGGGTTAGTTTATAAAAAAATCCATGTTTCTCAAATAAATATGCTAACCACAGGTTTTTTAATATTCTGTGTTTGAAAGGATTAAGTTATTTCCTCTCCAAAGGCATATAAAGGCTTTTAAACCATAGAGAACATGGACAGAAATCGGGTATCCTGCACACTCACCTATGCTCTCCCTGCACAGGGGATTAACAGGGGTTAAGAGCCACCACACTTTAGTAGTGGTAACAGTATTTTTTTTCTAGAAGCATGGTATACACCAAGTGTTTTAGGGAAGGTGTCAGAGTTGCAAAGTGCAGTAATACCATGATGATCTCAGGCACAACAGCTGTTGGTAGCTGCTTTATTGTTTTCTAGGAAGCAGATGATCTGCATAAATCCAGTTCTGTCTGGTTTCAGCCCCGCTCCCAGTACAGCATCCCTCAGATGGTGCGACCTGCACCGCGTACTGTCATTCAGGCACCAACTGAAGGTCAGCAATGCGCCATATGGAGTTACGCCCTTACTTCAGCTCACATCTGCACAGTCTTCCTAATGCACAATTATTTTGCCTCCCCATATGTCCATCCACTTGTTAGGCTCTTGTTATGCTGCTTGCCAAATTGGCTTTTCAAAAAGTACAAATACTGAAGCAGCGGGATCTGCCCTTGTCCCGACTCCAGCTTTTATCCCAGTGTAACAATCACATGTGCAATTCAAGCACTTTGTACTTCTAGGCAATGCCTCCTCGACCACCTAGGATGTGTTTTTGTGTGTGGTTTAAGGGGGGGAAGGAGTGGAGGAACCTCTTGAAAGCCACCGCATCTTGTTTCTGGGCTACTTTCATCATAGTGCTCAGTGCATCATTCCCCAGTGCTTGTTCCCCCAAAATCTTTAGCTGCTACTCATCAAGTTTTCAATGGAAAGGAAGAACTTTTAAAAGGATCCAGGCAATGCAAAGAGTGCCATGGGCAAGTCTCTTCACCCATGATACTAAGAGCACTTCAGCAAAAAGAATTTAAAAAATCTGCCCCATCTGCTAGTAGCTGTCCCTTTTCTCTGTCCATTTTAATACACGCATCGGTGTTTATTTAAAAAAAAACAATCCAGTTTCATTTCTGTGCATGCCAGAGTGTTTATGTACACAAAAGTATGTCTGTGTCTTATTTTTAGCTGCACTAGTTGACCTAATAAAAGATATCCTTCCCATTACAAATCTTGCTTGAGTTTTCATTCATTCTTGCTTTTGCTTATGGAGCCTCAGTGCTGCAATTCTGACTAGCAGAGGAGGGTATCTGACTGAGGAAGAGCTGGCTTCACTTAAATGTTAACGGAAATTCCTTGGTCTTTGACTTTGTAAGAATATGATACTTGGCTTTACATTTTAGAATGGATTAAAATAAAGTAATTCCTTTAAAGTTTGAGCATAGCAATCCAAAACACTGGACCACCAAATTAAAAAAATAAAGTAGCTCCCAGTCAAAAGTATTACATTTAGGATGCTGAAATCTGAAATGAACATAATTTCTTTGGGCTCAAATGAGTAGTCACCTTTCTCCCCAATTTTGTTTAGGGATGTCACTGGGATGACTCTGGCAGCTTGCTGTGGACGTGGTTCATCAGCGTGTAGCTTCACTTCCTACATATCTACCGATAGTTCAGTGTAGTGGAGCTCTAAATCTCAAAAGAACAGATTCAGGTTTTTATGCTACCTACAAAACCACAAGAGTGAGCATCTACAAAAAGTCAGAATCGCGTTAGCTACGTGAAGGTTTTGATCCACACGCCTAGAAACCAATGGGATATATACCTTTAAGAACAGTGACTTTTGCAAAAGTTGAATCTTGGAAAAATTAGGGATTACCCTGTCCTCTGATAAAGAACAAAAGTGTTCTAGCAGAAACACCTACAC